GAATACAGGAAGATAAAGAATATAACTGTGAGAATGATCACTTCTAAAGGAAAACGGACGGAAGTGAACCATAAGCTGATAAATGATCGATACCATAATTAGAGGGAATGGCTGGAGAATTTACAGTATGTTGGTAATTGGTAACGGTGAGTCAAAACCCGGCATCCCATTTTCTGCTTTGTTCTCATCTTTTGCACCAGATACCAATGTTCTACACTCCATACATCATGTTCGTACTTCCTCAATACCCCTAAAACAAATTAAAACGACAAACACTTAGCACGAAATGAGCTGAAAGAAGTATAAACACCTTCTTTTGGTAAAGATTTGTAACCGAACAATATGAAGGAAAAAAATTAAACAGGGACAGGCACAATAAAAATTAATCCCGAGCCAGCTAAAAAAATGAGTGACTGGGAGAGCAAATCCATGTCAACAGTTTCCTATCCAAAATAACAACAAAATGCTCTCCGATAACCATAGAATGCCTAAAACAAATTAAACGACAAACACTTAGCACGAATGAGCTGAAAGAAGTATAAACACCTTCTTTTGGTAAAGATTTGTAACCGAACAATATGAAGGAAAAAAAATTAACAGGGACAGGCAATAAAATTAATCCCGAGCCAGCTAAAAAAATGAGTGACTGGGAGAGCAAATCCATGTCAACAGTTTCCTATCCAAAATAACAACAAAATGCTCTCCGATAACCATAGAATGCCAAGAACACTACAAAAGAAATTATCTAGTTGCAGGAAAAATAATGTCAATCATGTTAACAAATAAAAAACCAACCAATTCTCAAGCCAGGCCAAAAATTCCAAATGGGTGAAACTAATAAAAGAACAAATAGAGCCAAAACTATCTACTAGATGAAGCTAAAACCCAATTTCAATCATGTTATAAAGCTCTCAGAAATTGTAGGCATCCGAGAAAGTGAAACGGTTCCCCATGTCTAGAAAAGCCTTTTAGATTATTTCCATCTTATTTAGGTTCAATTACACAAACGAGCAACAATAAAAGAAAACAATCACAAGAAGAACACGGATTAGATTGTCCAGCATTCTTCAAAAAGGATAGTACTGCTTGTTAACAAGAAAATTATCAAATTTCGGTTTTCTTCCTTGTGTCAACACAAGATCCGACCTCAAACCAGAATCTGACAAAAATAGAGCCACACAAGTAAACGGGGAAAGTATGAAAAGTTATGAATAAGTTGCCTAATCAAGTCAACAAAAAACACACATTATACCAGAAATCTAAACCAATTGAATAGTACATGAATTCAACAGTCAAAAGCATCAGAAATAGAAAAACAATAACACAAACTTACATCGAAGATTGTTACATTTTCTTGGAGAAACACACACACTCACAAATTCAAAGAAAGAATAACTCAAGATTGCAAAGCTAAACTTCACAAAAATGAATGTGCAAGCAAGGAATACAAAACCCAAAGTTCAGAAGCTTCAATATGTTAACAATTTTAAAAAGTTGTCCCAGCAATGCAAAAGAACAAGCAAGAATCCTAGAGAAAGTAGATCTAGATAGCACAAGCTAAGAATATAAACCTTGAAGGACGTTGAATAGAAAATTCAACCATTTTATAAACCAAACTAAAACCAAAAAACACACTATACCCTCCCAGATTCAGCAGCCATCAACAAGCAATCCAAAAACGCCCCAATACCCACTATATAAATTTGCACTGAAATTAATGAAATATAACCTAAACCATAGAGCTTTAAAGAAAGAACACGAGCTTACCAAAAGTGTATTTTACCAATCCAAAGTTCTAGCAAACAAATTTTTGGAAAAAAAGACAAACTTCTAAAGATCAAACACTAAGCTAAAAATACCCATAAGTCAAAATCACTAAAAAAACGTGTTAGGGAAACTCTAGAAGATCCAAAACAAAAATCACATAATTTCGGTTTAAAACACCTAAACGCATAAACAAAAAACCACATAAATACATAAAAATGGCAAAAAGAAACAATTTTTTCCAACTCCCATGCTCAAAAAAAGGGGTTAAAAATCAACTCATACCTACCGTTTTTTTAATATTTTTCAAAAACACGGACAGTAAACATCCCATAATAATAATTGGAAATGTTTATTTCAAAACAGAGCAGAACTTGAAAGATCAAAACAGAAAAACTCACCCAGTGAAATAATTTTTGATGAAAAATTGTATTTGGAGTATTGGTTATTGTTAATATTTACTTGGATAATGATATTCCAATCTCTAGACGCCCTCTTGACCTTTTCTGCGATAAATCTTTCCACTTTCCAAGAACTAATGATATTTTAATTGCTTTCTTGTTTTGAGCGTAACTTTAATGAGGTTTGACATGATTTTTTTGGGGGGTTTTAAAACTTTTTTTTTCTACTTTGCTGTAAAAATTGTGTCAGATAATTACTGACACGGTATCAAATTATCAATAAATACAGCCTATCTTTGATTAACTATGTTATGTAAGAAACCAACTTTGGGTTTGAACCCTCCTATTATTTTTAAGGGTGACCATTCCATTGAGCTAATTCGAGTTAAATTTAATTATTTGAATCGATAAAATATATTTTATAAATTAAAATTAATTTATTTTTAAAAATCAAGTTGTTTTAATTTTTATACAAATTCAATTATAATTATTTATAATATTATAGTATAAATTATTTCTAATTTTTAACTTTTTCTAATAATATATATATATATATATATATATTTCTTCTTATTCTTTTCACATTATAGTGATACTTAATATATGAAATACAAGCTAAAATTATAAAACATATTTACGATATTATATTTCAAAGAAAGTATTTTGAGGATAAAAGATTGATGGAAGTATAAATGAGCCAAATAATTGATTAAAAAAAGAATTTGTAAAAAAATTATAGTCAAAAGACTAAATTGAGTAAAATGCAAAGTTAAAAGACAAAATTAAAAAAAGGTATATTTTTAGTAAAAAAATATAGGAATTGAAGTTACATAGGTATTCTATAGTGGTGAGAGAATGTGATTTAAATTTGGTAAAAACAAACTTAAAATAAAAAAATGAATAGAAGAAATATAAAAATTATGCAAAATTGAAGTACTAAATTAAAAAAAATGTTATCAAAAAGTGGAATGGAAAGTAATATGTATTATATGATGTGTTTAGGAATATATGGTTCAAATTAGTAAAAATGACTTAAAATGAAGGAGAAATTCAAGAAAATATGAAATTAGGGACCAAATCATAAACATGTCAAAATACTCATCCAAATTTTCATTTTTTTTGAGTTATTCTAAATTTTGAAATTTCAACTCAGTCAAACTCAAAAATCGAATTGATAATTCTAGTTGACTTGAATAATTCAAATTTAAAAAAAAAAAAATTTTGAGTCTAATGGAATTTTGCTCACCCATTATTATTTTAGAATTTTACCTTTTAAAATTTGATAAAGAAAAAATAGAATATTATTTAAAATAAGATTTTTGTTTCAAAATTAATATTTAAAAAATTTTTATTATTTTAAATGGTATTAATTTTTGATGACGTAATAATATAAAATTATATCATGATATATTTGTTCTTTAAAATTTATATAATTTTATTATAAATTCAAAATATTAGAAAATAATAAAATACACATATTTAGTTTTTTATTTACCAATTCGAAGTCATGGCCTTTAGTGTTTATACATAAATTAATATCGACACCATCTCTCATTTACCGTGCTGATAGTTTTTACTCTTTGTAAATAGGTTAAAAATTAAAATTTCGATATTAACCCTAATAGTTGTCGTAAAATTTATTAAATCGAATTATGTTTTTAGTCTATGTACCATACACAAGTTGTAAAATTAATTAATGTTTTTAATTTGATTCTTTTAAATTTTTATAGTTTAATTATAGTCTTTATATAATCTGGATTAGTGCTGAAATTTTAAAATTCGGAAATCACATGAGATAATCTTATAATATTAGTTTAAAGTTAGGTTTTCAAGTTTGTATCTTCGTTTGCTAAATCATCAAATTTTAGTTTAAATGTTTAAGTTTTTTATTTTATTTTATTAATATGGGTGAACATAAGGTAGTATATGTTCAAAGATAACTATCAACCATTTGAAATTAAACGCTCACACTACTGACATTTATGGTAATTAAACATGATACCTCGTGATATTTATGGTACTTGAACATGATACCTCAAAAAATAACAATAATTCCTTTACCCCTAAGGTTAATTTTATGTTAGATTTATGTATTATATTTTTAAATATTAAAAAATCATGTAAAGAAATCTTAATATATTTATATTATAATAACTTTTGATATGTTGTATGTATGATTCCAAAATGACCAAATTTTTATGTCAAATGTAAAAGACCAAAACGGAAAGAAAGGACAATAGCTAACTGTTGGTGGCTGAATAAGAAATCATTTTTCCTTTTTACGAAATGATAAAATTATTCTCAATGTTCATATAATTTGTTATGATGTAGTTATTTTTTTAGAACATTTTATCTTTTAACGTTTTAATTTGTGATTAAAATAGATCATGTTGAATGGAAATGTTAATTGATTAACGCTCAACTCATATTATTGATATGACATTTTGTTAATTATAGTACTGGACTTTAATTTTAAATTCAATTATACCATTCAACTATTTAGTTTTAAATTCAATTATACCACTCAACTATTAAATCATTAACGAGACGATAAAATGACTAACAACTGTTAAAGTGACATGTCATACCAAAACAACGTTGTTTGACGATGACTATTGATGTCCAAAACGGTGTTGTTTTAGACACTAAATTTTAGAGTTTTATGGACTTTGCAACTGAACTTTTAAACAATTTAATTTTTTTCGCATCGCACTTTCCAACAGTCGGTCACCGATCGTATTGAACACCTGAACCCGACACTTACATTCAAATTAGAATAACATAAATAAAAACACATTAAGAATGTAATCACAAACACCAATGTCTCCTAATTTATAAAAGAGAGTGACACAAAGTATCATTAGTGAGTGTACATCTCTAATCTTTTGTGTTATGCAAAAAAGCTTCATATAAGTTAACAAATTCTGACGACTTTCACTTCTTTTGTGCAAGCCACTTACAAAACCCATTCTCTAAAGCATCTTTCATCCATTCATGCCTGCAACTTTGCAGCGCTTTCGGAATCGTAAGCCAACTCCTCGTTCGAGTGCTCTGCTCTGGCCACGAACTCAGTTCCTCCATCACCAACAACGCGAACATTGCGGCCTTACATAAGCCTTCTGGACTGAATTCATCTTGATGAGTTTTGCTCTTGAAATGATAAAATCCTATGAAATCCTAAAATCCCATAAGAACAAAAAATTACAGCACTTTTAACCTGTTATAAAGAGGCAAATGCAACAATCTTATAAATAATAAACAATTTCTGCAATTCTCATGGTGCAAAGGCAAACGGATTAATGATCGAAATCGTCTAATGACTGTGTTAACAGATTTTGGAATTAATGGAATTGGGATAAAGAAATAGCTACTGCAGGATGAGATTACAGAGTACTCCAATCTATAAACTTTACTTAAACTTGGATGTGAGTGTTGGATATCGATATATCTTAGAAATGGATATTTCCCATTTTTTCAAAAGTTCTTTCACGTTTAGAGGATCATATCCCATACCATGTCCAGATATACAATGGACATGAGTAATTGAAGGAAAATAAAAAGTAGGTGAGAACAGTAGAACTAGATTCGAGGGGATAAAGCAATGCAAATGCAATGAGCTCAATGACAAGAAAAATAGCATGCAAAAAATATACCAGATCTATGGCACTTAAAACATTCTACTTGAACTCGGGTACGAGTATATCTACAACGTAGGTACACTTATTTCTTAGTGTATGCCTGAATGCCTGCTAACCTTACTCAAAAGTCGATGATGACAAATGTCAACCTATGCTCCTTGAACTCGGATGAGAGTAACAGATACGTGTTTGCACGTGACATAGGTATATTTAACTATTTTCTTAGTGCGTGTGTGTATTAAGGGTCATATCCCGAAACCCTTGTCCTAATATGTATTGGACATGGGTGTCAAATTGAGGTATTTCAAGAAATATGAAGAGTTAGAGCAGCATATGTTTTGACGAAATAAAGATCGGTATTAGAGACCTATGCTGGAAACATCAAGAGATGAACTAAAGTTGGAACAAATTGAAAAGATAACAATATAAAAAGCATAAGTAAAAGCGAGGAAGACAATTCACCATTAAATCCCCCCGGACTCCAGCTTCTTCAGTAGCTTCCCTCACTGCAGCCTCCTCAACCGTTTCATCATTCTCCCAACCTCCCTAAAATCAGATAGCAAGATATTCACAACAAAATGTTACTCTAAAAATACTATTTTCTTCAAAATATAAGATTGCGTTACTTTGATCCAATACATGAATCAGAGTAACTTGGTGGTATATTATTCTTGCCATTAAAGAATATGATGCATCAAAAATGCAATAGGAATGTCTTAGTATTGATTCCAAAAGAAATAAATCAAAAGGGAAGCTAGTTCAAAATTTCAATGGCTTTCACGCAAAGGGAGAAAAATAGTTTGCAAGAGAAATCACCCAGTATGGAGACAAGAACACAAAACAAGAAAAAGATATAGCTGGAATTGCATTTCAGACTCTACCGTCAAATCCTTCGGATTTAAATATGAATCACAAGTGTTGCGTTTGTAATCAATAATTCAGCCAACAATAATCATCTGCTTAAACTCCCATACACAAGAAATAACGAAATTGTCAAAGACAAGTTAATTCATTCAAACCTTAACTCTGTTAATAGGAACTCTTGTTCATAGATGGCCTTACTAACTTTTTAATGAGATTGTGTGAGCTAATTCAATAAAACTGAACCAGAATCCTCAACAATATCCATGAACAATTTACTTCCTACATAACTCCAAGATCTTCATTTTCTATGAAGTATCTTTGTTTGACAACCATTTCTAACACATGCTCGGACATGGATATGGGGTTATGATCCTCTATGAAACCTCCAAACTCATGACAAATCTTAGAATAAGATTGATCATACCCATGTTTGATACATCCGAGTCTGAGTAACATAGTTGCCTCTCAACAAATAAATTTTATTCTAAACTTAAAACAACATTCCAATCTAATAAAATAGGAAAATGTCATAACCACTTGCAACCCAATTAATAGACTAACAAAGAGCCTCCCGTTATCCAAGAGGCAAGTGCAAAGCATACAGATTCTATTTTGTTGTGTATTGTATGTTACTTTAAACATTTCATTCTTCTTTTCTTTACATAACAGTGTCCAACGGCTACATGGACATGGGTATAAGGATATAATCCTTAAAAGACCCTCCAAATAGGTTAAAAACTTAAGAAAATTGAACATACCCGTGCCGGAAACATCTATTCCCGACACTTGCACCGGAGTTTGAGTAACATAGGTATTATCAAAATACTAAGTAAAAAGGCTATTTGTTGTAAATGCTGATAATAAATTTGAATGTAGTACACTGGATTAATTAGAAAAAAACTGCAAGACACAATAAATAGGAGTTAGAGGCTAATAATGAGTAATCCAGAATGCAACCCAATATTACCGGATACTGCAACATAACTAAGGTTGGATGCATGTCTTTTTACAGAACCTTTTTATGTTTATTCCCATCAACAGTAATGCATATATAGGGAAAAATAAATGCAACCATATTCTACGGTGGAATGGACTTAAGCAAGTCCGGAATGGTAGGGAAGCAAGAATAAAGGAAGTAAGAATTACAGTGTATGTCTAAACAAAACATGAGTCTGTACCTTTGGAAACAAAAGACCTGGTCCACTAGTTGAGTTAATCATCAGTACCTCAACCACCTCTCCATAGTTTACTTCATCTGCCTCATTTGAACTTCTATACCTAAATGGAATACATCTGTCAAACGAGAAGAGCGAATTTAGCACATCAAGTTCAATCATGGATAGAATTTTTCACAAAACTTCAAAATTTAAGTATTCATACAAGTCAATGCCCATCTCATTATATTCAGATTGAAACAATTCAATCTCAATAAAAAATAGCAGCAATGAGGGAAAATAAAAATAATAGAGAAAAGATTGAAGACCTAACATTCTTCCAAAATGGTATATATAAAAAAATCCAGTCACAATATTACCGTTAAAGCGAGAAGAAAAAAACAAACCGTAAACAGGAATCAGATACAATGGCATCTTCAATAGCACGGCTCATTAATATTGAAGGACTATGTTACTCTGACTTTTCATTTTTCTAGAAGTAATCATTTCCGACACCCATGTACAGTTATTCCAGAAATGGGTATGGTATATGACCTTCTAAGAACACTCCAAATACATGAAAAAACTTTTAAAAAAACTTAACATTTCCATTAACTAATTAACAAATTAAAGTATGTCCTACCTACCCATAAGGCAAATTCTTTTGATTTAGTTCCAATGTTAAAGTCAGCATAACTTCAACTGTCAAACATAGTTATATAGATTAAGCAACTTTATCAACCGCTAACAAAGGAATGAAAATATCTCTTTAAGACCGTTCACAATCTTCCCCAGTTTTTCATTCTTTCGTTACTTTTTCCAGTTCTTAATTTTTTTCCCTTCCCTTTTCTTTTTTGAGAAACCAAAAGGCTCTTTAAAGGATTGTATAACTATTTGACTACTGAGAAACATAGCTATCACCATCAATACCAAAATATCAAACCAATAGCCACTACTATGCAACACAAGAAATTTCCTAGAAGGTTTCACTGTCTCTTTCCGTCATATGTCATATCTGCCAAAAGTCACACCCAAGGTTAAGTTGATATTCTAACCGGTCCATCTCATTCAAGGAATTCAATATTCCTAAACTAGCTCCACGAGAAAGTATCATTTCTCAAGCCAAGCACTCCAACTACCAATAACACTGAAATTCACGAAGATTATCCTAGACATTTTGTCATGAAAGCTCATATGGCAATGTAGAGAAACGATTCTAGGAATATATCTTTGTAATTAACAACACGGGCCATACTTCCAATGCAATAATCATTATCCATTAGGCAGACATCATAGACAATGACATTTTTCTTAGAAACAAGAAAATAGACAAAACAAACCCACCCACTAATCCCCAAGTTTTGAACCAGAGAAAAACAAAACAAGGAACACCCACTTGCAATTTCATGTCAAGAATGTAATAAACCATTTCAAAATGGAAAATGAGCACTTTTAGACAATTAAAAACAAAACATATCAATCTATACACAGCAAAAGTAAAAATACATTCAAATTCTATTTTCATGCCAAGAATTAAAAAACCATTGAAACCTCGAATGAAATAATCCTAAAAACATAGACAGAAAATACCCGTTTTCCATCTTCATCTGAAAAATTCAATAAACCCCTTAAACATTAAATGAACTATCTCAACACACATGCACACAGAAAGAAAGAAAAAACCCACATCTGAGAATGTAGTGAATCATTCAGACTTTAAGACTCACATTCATATACAATCAGAAAATGATAGACAAACCAAAAATCTAAAAGAAAAAAGGGAACCCAATTGCTATTTATGTAAGAAAATGTTCTTAATAAACACCATTCCTACCTTCAAAATCCCCCCATTCATGATTTCATATGCCAATGCAATCAAAACATCGAGAACAAGAGATACACAAAAAACAAAATATACCAATTTACCAATATCCCAGAGCTGATATAAACCATTAAAAGCTTAAAATCATAGTATTAAATTGCGGCCACAACTCAGTTCCTAACGCTGTAATGTAAGCAACATCCGCAACTGCAACACCTCAATTTAATACTATGCTCAAAATGCACCGTTGGCATTCATAAACGCAAAAAATAAAACAAACCCATTCTCCAGAATATTTTTTTCCCTAACTTTCCAAGTGATCAGTAAAAAAAAAAATCTCAAATCCAATATTAATAATGTAAAAAACATTCCAATCACAGAACAATACACCATTCAAGAAGATAAAAAGAACCAAATAATTGATCAGCCAAAACTCTAAAAATCCACATGCAAACATATCTTCCACATCTACATTACACAGATTAAGCAAAATAATCATAAAAAAATCATACCCAGCGACAAGGCGAAAACCAGCCTCGTACCTTTGCTGAAGCCGACCTGTACGGGCCACCAAATCCGACATAATAATATGAACAAAAAACTCAGTTTCTTTCTCTCTTTTTCTTCTTTTTCAAAAATCAAGTTCCTTTAATTCCAACAAAGGCGTTCATGTTTGGTATTTTTTTTTCCTCCTTTTTTGTGGGGTTTACAAAAAAAATGTTCAGGCTTGTACCGGATTATGGTTCATCCATTGCTGCTGGCATTGGGTTTGACGGTGATGATGAATGCTACACAGCATCATTCAAAGGTTGTGATTTTCTTTGCTTTTTATGTTAATTTTTTAAAATTATAAATCGTAATGAATGCGAAAAAAAAAATCAGTTTTGGGAAAAAGAAAGGGAAGAATGAAACAGAAAGAGAGAGAAAGAAGGGAAAGCGCTAAGAACGGATCGAGCGGTGTAGTGGTTAAAAACACCATGAGAGCTGAGCTGGTCAATATGTGGATGCATAAATTACAATTTTCATCAGCTTTATCAAAATTATTTATTTTCCACGCCCTTCGCAACAAATAATTACTAGCAAGTTACTTTTTCTTTGATTTAATTCCTCTTTCAGTCCTTGTTTTCCTTAAAATGATAAAATTTAGTCCCTTTACTGGTCAAATTTGAACATTAAAATCCAATTGATAACCACATTATTGCAGGCTCTACAAAGTTACGAGTTCAAACAGAGACATTTTAATGTGAGTATAATTAATAACCGATTTAGAAAGGTGAAGCTCGATTAAGAAAGGCATAATGATAAAAATGTTTCTAATGTTTAATTAATTTAATTTTTTTTAGAGAATTTTAGTATTTAACGTTTTATTTTAAGATAATATATATCTTACAAACGTACTTGCTTAAACTCAAAAACTTTGAGAAGAATAGCATTTTTTCACTATTTAGATCACTTGATGGGTTCGAGTTAAATTAAATTAAAATAGACATAAATTTACATATAATATTAATACCATGCATGTCTAAGTTCAACCTGACCTAAACTATAACTATTACTTTTTGTGTTAAATTTGTTTATTATTCATTTTCTAAATGTCAAATTTTTTAACTTTAATCATGATTATTTGAAGTATTTTAAATAATTAATTTATATATATATATATTATTTGATTAACGATTTAAAATATATTTTTATTAATAATAAATTTTTACTAATATTGAGTCAAAATTTAAAAATATTAACCAAAATAATCGATAAGAGACAAATTTAATGAAACAGTAGGTGTATAGAAAATTATTTTTTCAATAAAGGTATTTGTTGCCGTGTTTATTAAAAATCATCTAATATTTTTTTTTTTGAAAATCGCAAGAATACATGACGACTTCTTCTTATTTCATACATGCACAATAGTATGGATGGTGCTGTAGAAATCGTTGGATAGCCTATACGTTTTCTAGAAAATGCCATATAGTTCAAGTGATTTATAATGAATACGGTAACAAAGGTCTTAGTTGAAAAAATAATTTTCTTTACATACTATATGATTAAATATTGTTTTCCAACATATTATTGGAGCAATTTTTCATTTTTCTAGACAAATGAAAATATTATTTATTTAAATTTTACAATTAAATAAATTTAAGAAATAAAAAAACTTAAACCTTTTTTCTAAAATCGAAAATAATTTACGATATCTTTTTATAAAAGTTTTCCCCATGTGGCAAATGGGCTTTTGGAATTAAAATATTTAGTAAAAGTAGGAGAATAAAAGAGAGAAAACTTAAGAAATTTTATTTTCGTAAATATTTTGTTTGGTGTCATTTTATTAAACAATTGAAAATATAATAATATTTAGTAAAGAAAATGTAATTATGGTGGGTAAACGAGGCCGTAAGAGTTGATTTTAGACTTACATTTAGGGATGGGTCAATTAGAGCGAGTGAAGTAATTATTTCTTAAAAGTTTTTGTTTATTTATTTATTTTATGTTGATAATATAATAAGTTTGTTTCCTTCTAAATCTTAAATTTTATTTTCCAAAAAAATAATTGTGGCACTTCAAGAAGAAGAAGAAAACACATTGATATTTTTTTTCAACTCAGACTTCCGTTAATGGATTAATGGGAGTTAACGGTTGAAGAACTAAAATCAAATGAACCAATAATATAAGAGACCAAATCTATTTTTCTAAAATTGAACGGACCGATATCATAACGGATAATCCATTAAATTATACTAGGGAAACGCATGGCAGCAATTATTTTAAAAAAAAAATTGTTTTACTTTGAATAATGATTTTCTATTTTCATAAAGTGAATTCAATCGTATACCAATTTTGATTTTCTACTTTCATGTGTAATAAGAAACAAAAACTCAAAACATTGGGAATTTCCACATTTTTACTTTCTTGGCAATTGCCCATTTCTACTCAATTTGATTGGTTTTTGATTTGTGAATCCACTTTTAGTTTACCTCCAAGAGTTGATTAAATTTGGTGGTTAAAGCTATTAGTGCACTAATTTAATTGTTAAAACCATATTTATTATGTAATTTAAAGAAAATATTTAAAAATTAATACAAATTTTATTATATAAATTCTAAAAGATGTAAAGTTGAGTAAATGAGATTGTTGATCCAATCAAGATTTTGAAAATTTTGATATGAACATATATTTCCATCATTGTGACGAAGAGGAAAAAACAATGTTGTTTTGGCGACTCCTACCGATGCCAAAACGATGTCGTTTAGGCATTAAACTTTATAGATGTATCAATTTTGCCATTAAACTTTCAAACATTTTACTTTTTGGTATCGTACTTTCTGGCCACCATTAACAGTCAATCACCGCCAATTATCGGTTGTCTTTCGTGACAAGATCAATATCAAAACGTTCGTATTTCACTCATTTTTCTTCTCATAGGATTGATTTTTTTCATGAACCCACTCAAAATCGACAAAAATCAATTTAAATTTTTTACATTTTAGTGCTATAAAAAAGAACGGGGATCAAAATGACAATTCAGTCAAATGTTAGAGGTCGTTTTATCCTGGGTCAAAATACTAAAAAAAGATAAGGGGTAAAATAACTACTTTAATAAATATTAGGGACTAGTTTTGATATTACACCTTTAAAAATTTCAACTACTAAAAAGATAAGGGGTAAAATAACTATTTTAATAAATATTAGGGATTAGTTTTGATTTTAAAAGTCAATCTCACGCCATGTATTAATATATACGATGTAGTTGAATGAATATACTTTATAAGAAAAATATGTTTTAAAATTATGTATTTTTATATATAGCTTTTATACTTGTTTTATGATTTATGATTTTTGTTTTTTTCTTTCTTAATACTATTTTATTCAATATTTAAATCTAAGTTTTATATATAAAAATTGAATTCTCTCGTTAGAAGTTGATGCATCCAACATGTGTTGATAATTTATTAAACTTTTTTTCGAAATTTAATATGAGAAAAAATTATGTAATAATAAATTTCTGTCCAAAATAACAATAAACTCATGAAAATAGAAGATTTTTCTTATGAAAGTGTTTAATTTTTTTTCAATGTACCATAAACCATCAAATTAATTTTCTTCGATCAAATGATAATATTGATTAATTCTCTAGATTTTAAGACTTATATAAAAGGTTTTAAGAAACTTGGTTAATTTTTCAAATATTAAAAGGAATTTCGCAAAAAAATATAATTATATTATAATATTAAGTGTAATTTAAAATAAATTTATTTTGATTATATTTCAATTGATTTAGAGTCAGATTAATTTATAACGTTAACCCAAGTAAAGATTTTATAGTAAGTATAAATATATAAAACTAAAAATGAAATTGGAATCCATTTTAATTAATAATTCCACATGTTTGTTAATTACTACTATAAAGTTGAGTGATTAAACATCAAACATTTACCAAACCGAATGGTCCCTAAAGATTGAACCAATTTAACTAAATAATGTCTGGTCGTTTGTCTCAGCATATCTTTGTCAATGATTGTTGTAGTCAGCCCTTTCACAAAGAAAAGGTCATTGCCATGCCTAGTTTGCTACAAGATCATACGGCTTCGGCATCCGATCGGCACTCAAAATACGTATTTAGCGCTCTGAAGCAAAATCCGGCTCCTTAGTTCCATTTCACGGTAAATAATCAGTCTTCTTCCTCTCATATCTCGTTCTCTAGTATATGTCGCATCATTTGTATCGGAATGAGGCCTTCGGTTCGAATTGCCTCTTTGTTTGGATCAGGGCTGATGAAGAACAAAGTAGGCAACCCTCTAACCTGGTACAGCAGAATTTCCAGTTCCATTTAGTCTCTACGATACTAAACCAACTGGAAGATTACGGGTGAAGTTGACATAAAATGGAAAGTAACTACTTTAAATAGGTTTGATGGGTGCTCGGATTTAAGTGTGACTATCGGATGTCGGCATCAATCTGGTATATATATGTCCCAAAACTCATGTTTGAATATGCATTAGACATGGGTACTTTAAGAAAAATGAAGTGTTGGTGCAACATAAGTAGAAACAGCGGAAAGGAGAGAACTCGAGGAATAAATATTACTCGCAAGTTACCTGCATATCGTCGTCGGTATCAACTTTGACAATAATTGCATTTTTCTCATACTCCACAGCTAGCTGTGATTAAAAAGAAAAAGGAAATAAAAAATAAGATGACACTTGAGTAAATCTGCAAACATTTTATAGCTAAGAAACCAAATATGTAAAGCAAACCCCAGTTTAATGCAATCAAATTCCTGAATTTAATTTGAGAAGAAATCGAGGAATCTGCATGGCGATTTGTAGACTTTGTTCTAGCTCATAACATGGTTAAGGGCAGTGTTTACGTCACTTCACTGGAAACCGGCATCCCGAAATATTTAGAAGATACAGAACCTATCTTTCAAAACTGTGTTCAAATTGCAAATTGCAAGAAAACATCTTACTTGAGCATTAAATGCAAGACTGCAGAATTTTCCAGTGCCAGTGTTTACATTACTTAATGCTATGTAATGAATGATATACCAGGAAATTTTTGCGATACTCATCCTATTTTATGAAACTACTTCAATAACGCAGAGTGCAAATAAATATCTAAAATTTTCCGGTTATGGAATTGAGTAGCCGCCCCTTTTCAGTTTTCAGCTATGGTCTAGTGCAAGGGATTGTTTTAAGCCCGCCCATCAATAGAAAATCTATTATGCAATCTGAAAATATAATTCCCCACAGATAACTTGTATAATGAATCTAATCTATATCGGCCAAAATCTTGAAATTCTGGTTTCATCTTCTACTTTATTGAATTAGAATGATTGCAGTTAACATATTTCGGTAAATTTTTATTGCGAAATTGTAAAGCTAGGATCAATAATTCAGACCTTTTAACTATAAACACTGGTGAAATAGAATACAAGGTAAGATACAAACCACACTGGTACTTTATATTCAGATTGCAACGGATGCTATCAGTTTGGAGTTTGGACGGCAGATGATGGAGTGAACTTAACATAAATTCCAGGCAGTCAGAAGATTCTTTTTAGAATGATTTTAAACGCCTAGGACTTTATTGTACATTTTAACCTCCTAAGTTTTGACATTTTAACGACTTTATATTCGATAGTGACATTCTGGGCATTTCTTAGAGTTAGGGTTTCTACAATATTTTACATCTTGTGCTCCTTACTTTACAAGTTGATTTCAGGCCACCATGTCGGAATTTATTTATGCACATTTTTAAGGCAATTCATACTTTGGCTACTTACATATGAGTATATGACTGCTTTCATGGGAGTGTTTTCCTTAATTCCTTGCTAAGCGTCTTCGATTTTGGTTCTGGTGTTGTTTGCTTTCGCTGTTTGTTCTTTATTTTGTTACTCTCAATGTTATTTGTCTGTGACTATATACTTGGTGTTATTGTTGGATTTATTATTTACAAAAATAATCTTTTGCTGAGCAAAAGAGAGAAATAAAGAATTTTCAATTGGTAGGCAGTATTTACTTGGAGATATGTTCATAGGCTGGCCTTTAGCTTTCGTTGCTTCAACTGCAATTGGTTGCGGAAGAATTTCAAAATGAGGTTTCAGCATGAACATACGGTAGAAATATGGTTGTTTGCTTGCATTTATAATTGTCAATCACCGCTTATTTTTATTATATTACAGTACTAAATTCGGTTGTTTGCAATTGTTGTTGCCTATAACTTCTCATCATTTATTCTTCAAATGATGCTTTCACAGGTCCACTCATCTCAAGCATCTTCGACTATTTTCATGCTATGACATTTCAGATGATGGTTAAGCGAAGCAGCTTTAAAGCTTCCGTTTCTGGAAAAGCTTGAAATTTTCATATGTCCCATTTCGAAACATGCTCTGGAAACTATTGGTCGCAGTTGCCCTCTCTTGAAATCATTCAAACTCAATCTTCAGCAATGCAAAAGCTTCCACCATGTCTCGGATGATGAGGCACTAGCTATTGCACAAACTATGCCTGAATTACGCCACCTTGAACTTTTGGGGAACGGGTTGACAAATGAATGGCTTGCAGGCCATTCTCGGCGGTTGTCCCCACCTTGAATATCTCGACTTGCGGCGATGTTTTAATGTTTGTCTGGGGGAAACCTGGAGAAAAGATGTGCTGAGCGCATAAAAACCTTGCGGCTCCCGAATGATTCAACTCGTGATTATGAGTTTGATGCAGGAGTTCATGATACCGAGTCACCAGATGAAGACACTACAAAACAAATTATTTTTAAGGGCATTTTAATTCTGTTGTTTACCAAAACTGCTTCAAATAGATCTTACAATACAATTTGACTGTCCCAAATAATTCCCCCAGTAATAACAAACCTTTTAGTGGCAATTTTTCTCTCTCAAGTTATCATTAAATAGATCACTTTTTAGAAAAGAAAAAAACTGTAAATTTCTGTTTGTTTTTCTCCAGTATTTCATTATTTTAAATTTCAAAGAAAATTTGTCATTGTTTCCCTCTTTTTTTCAGACCGTTTTCTTAATGATTTGGAGTATTTCTTATATCGAAATCTCTTAAATCATGTTTAAATTATCATTTTCTAAAATTTAAATACAAGACTTAATTATTTCTTTTCTGTCAACATTATCTCCGCTACGATCATTTTGGATTCAATTTTAGGGTTAACAATGTTCAGTCAGCGTTCAAAACCAAGCCTTTAATGCCTGAGAGCATGAGAAACAGGTCTGTTATTAAAATTCCCTTCCATGTCCTTCCTTTTTATGAACGTTTTGTCCATTTATTATTCTGGTTTTTAAATTCTTGACCAAATTACTATGCTAATTTTCTTTTTGAAAATTGGTTTTGATTCAAGAAGGGCGAAGTAAAACCAAAGGCGAGGCTACTGTAAATAAGTGCCATTTTGGTGTTGGTTACCGCCCTGTAAAACTAAAGGTGATTTGGTTTTGTTTTTGGTGTTTGGAAATCTAGACTGGGAAGCTGAAAATATTGGGTTCAGCAGATGATGGACAAAGCTACATGACATCAGGGAAGCATGAGGTAAACGAAGTGATCCTCTAATTTATTTGAGTTAAAATGATACAGGTTTTGTTTTCTCTCAAATTGATAAAATAGATATATTCTGTTATGAGGGCGCATTGTGTGTCAGTAACAAGTAATCTTTTTCTATTTTTCTTTGGCTTTTTAGAATGTTAGCTTATATGAAGTATTTGCAAATAAAATTCTGAGGCACGTAGAAAACAAGAATAGGAGTCATGTTTATGGTTGAGAGATGAAGGTTCTGAAAGTTAATTGGGAAATGCTGATGTTGTTGTTCTTGCATCACGGCCTTATAAGTAAATTAACATCTTCTGTGCTAGTTCCTATATAATTATTGGAGCAAAAGTTATTTTTGTTGTCAATACAAGTTTAGCATGGTGTTGGAAAAAGAAAAAGAAGATGATAACACAATCTTGTTTGCAACAGGTATCTCAAGTAGCTTTTGCCTTCAAGTTTTATCTGTTGTATAGGTACCTTTATGTCTTCTTTTCTAACTTGTAGTGAAAGCCAAATTATTTTTGAAGCATTTCCAAGACATGTCAATCACATTGTTTTTGCATATTCCAGTAGCTATTTAGGTTTATTTTTAATGGATTGATCTGGTAGATGACCACTTCTATTGATTAGTTTTGTAAAAGATTTGTTTTAAGAGGGTAAAATTGTTGAATACACAAGTGAAAGAAAGTAGTATTTCAATCCAATTTTAAATCCCCCCCCCCCCGCTTCTGAAAATTCTGATGTTATTTTCACGACAGAATCTAAAAAGTGAAGCGTTACATTCCCCCCCCCCCTTAAAAATATCTGTTAATTTAATACATAATAACAAGATTAACTTTCAACAGATTTACTATTTTTTATCTTAATTTTTTTAACAGATGCAAGGAAGAAACATTATTCCCGCTTGGGTCCAGATTTGTATTCGTTTCACTCTTTTTAAGTTCCTGCTTCACGAATCCCTGAATTGCTTTTTTCAAGGAACCCTGAATTTCTTTTGAACTATATGAAAGTGGCGATGAGTTCAAGGACCTGCATTCTTATATTCCAAGTAATCTCCACACCTGCAGTTGCCATTATTTACCCACGATTTCCAAGTAACCAACATTGCCTTGGCAACACCTATTTCTAAAACGGTAATCTCCCCACTCACTGTTGCATAGTCATTTACATTTTGCAGTCGGTGTTTGGAGCAAATAGGAGCGGCCAATTCCAGTCACCAATCACAAGTCTTTTACATTTAATTAGGTTTGGTTAAGAAAGATTATGAACATATATTATCTAGTAATCATCCAAACTAGTAAAAAAAAAGAACAAGGTTATAAAGCCACCATTCATCCACAGTAGAGTCAAAAAATAACGTACCTTCTTCATTATCAAGAAATTCCCACGAATGTTCTTTGCAGCAGGGGAGTTCCTTACAATATGGATGGAACCTTCCTTGTGAAGTCCGCAAATGGCACAACTCATAGGTTGATTTCTGTAGTGAGCAGTCAATTTGTTGACTTTCCCCATATTAAAGCATCCTTGGAATCATTGTTAGGAATGCAGGGAAGCGTCGTATGCGGTTCACTATCTCTTCTGGTAAAAGAGATCGAATGAGATCAATGTTTCACTTTCTATCTTCAAAGAAGTCATTCACAAGCAGCTCAACAGCACCAAATATTCTTTAACAATAGAAAAGCAACCGAAGAATAATCACAAATGATCAATCACACGAGATGAACACTTCTTACACGGAAAATCCTTTGAAACAAAGGATTCCATAAAATTAAGTTTGACTCAATGTAACTTTCAATCACTGTAAACACATTACCTTAAACTATAGTCAACAAGTGATTCCAAAACACAATAAAGAAACTTGAGAATTTCCAAATACAGAGAGTGACTTTCGGGTTGAAGATCCGCAGGATACAGTAATTGATAACAATTTCGTCCTACAAAAACTATCATCTACTTTATACCCTAATCACTGTTTTATCGATGCAAAAGATGGGTGTTCTTTCACCTGATGTTATTCAACTACTTTCAAGTCCAAGGTTTGCATCAACATAGCTTTCACGTAGAAATCAGGATTCTCCATAAAAAACCAAAATTACTAAAAGGAAAACCAATCAAATTAAGTTCGACTCAATGTGACTTTTCAGGACACTCTAAATACATGGGAAAAATTAAAAATTGAACATACTGATATGACCATATATTTATATTTGACGCTAATACCTCAAGCAAGTTCTTCAGGCAGCATATATTCTCATGATTAAAAGCACCACATGTAATGTATGCACCAGTGGTGCATATAAAAGACACTATTTTGAGACTCGACCAAATCTTTCTAATTGGTTAAACTGATGCAAAGTAATTTGCCAATCCAAGATATACAATGCAACTATAGGGTAAATTAGATTAAACTATTCAGGATCTATTTGAAAATTTTAAATTTGGTTTAATAGTTTTAGAATCAAGTTCAAGCTTAAACAGCTCAAACTATGAATTTGAATATCCTAATGCTTCAACTTAAGTCCATTGCAAGCTTAATTAATTTTCTTCAATTAAAATTGAAAAATGTTAATTCAAACTAAAACTGTCGAAATGTATAAAACTACAAAAGTGGAGTAATCGACACAAACACACAGAAAATAAGGCAGTCCACTTTATATCCTGATTCCCTACTCTGGACACTGAAGGAGTAGTCCCCTACTCCATGGCATCAGTCATATTCATCATAATCATCATAATCAGAGGGGTTGTACCAGGTATCAAGATCCTCTGTAACGAACTTAAAATCGTGGGTTGGATCAGAAGGGTGCCTCAAGTTTTTTATGCGTTCAACACACCTTTTCTCCAAGTTCCCCACCAGACGAACACTGAAGCATTGTCGCAAATCGAGATATTCCAGGTGAGGACAACCGTCAAGAATGGCCTGCAGGCCTTCATTTGTCAACCCATTCCCCAAAAGTTGGAGATGGCGTAGTTCAGGCATAGTTTGTGCAATAGCTAGTGCCTCATCATCACAGACATAGCCTTTGCATCGCTGAAGATTGTATTTGAATGATTTCAAGTGAGGGCAACTACGACCAATAGTTTCCACAGCATGTTTCGAAATGGGACCTATGAAAATTTCAAGCTCTTCCAGAAACGGAAGCTTTAAAGCTGCTTTGCTTAATCCTTCATCTGAAATGCCAAAGCATGAAAAAAGTCGAAGACGCTTCAGATGAACAGACCTGTGAAAAACATCATTTAAAGAAAAGAAAATAAAAAAATATGAAGAATGATAGGCAACAGCAGTTGCAAGCAAATTAGTACTGTAATATTATAATAAAAAACAAGTAGCAATTGAAAATTATAGATGGAAACAAACAAACATATTTCTATCGAATGTTCATACTGAAACATCATTTTGAAATTCTTCAGTAATCAATTGCAGTTTAATCAGTGAAAGCTAAAGGCCAGGCTATGAACCCATCTCCGAGTAAATACCATATACTGGTTGAAAATTCACTACTAAAGTAAGAAACAAAAGCTATACAATGTTGTAGAAACCCTAAATCTAAGAAATGCCCAGAATTTGACTATTAAAAAACTATGCGTATAAGATTATAAAACACTCCATTAACGTTAGATGATGAAAATTCATTACTGATAATTAATACAGCCTGAAAGAAACAATTAGAGATTATGAAATAAAAGAAACATAAATTTTACCGCTCAGCGATATAAAGCAGAAGATCATCGGTACCAAAATATTCGATATTGATATCAAGCAAGTGGCCGCAGCTGTGATCGACGGCGTGGAAGCACATCTTCTCGTGGACATAGTCCTTGTCCCATTCACCCAAGTTGCGCATATCAATGGATCTCCACATAGATGGGTCTTTGCAGATTTTTCGCCACTGAGAACACACGTCTTGGGCGCTGCTAAGGATCTCGATCGCACCTAACCGAGAGAGAATCGACGCCGTCACGTCCGGCGGCAGTTCCAGCCAATTGCGGGCATCGGCTGCGTCGCTCATCTTTCGTTTCCTTTGGAGGATCTTGTTGTAAAGAGGCGTTCGAAGGAAATGGTTAAATTTTTCTTGTTTTGTTTTCTTTTGGGTAAAATACACTCCAGGTCACTCCCACGTTAGTTTTTTGATATAATATTATTTTGGGAAAACAGGCGTTTAGTATCCAAACTATTACTTTAATTCCGTTATGGTCAGAAAACTTTTTTTTTGTTTCAAAATCATACATAATGTTATGTTTTAGTTTCATTTTGGCTACCAATCGTTAAAAATTAACGGTGATGCTGATGTTTCACCATAAAGTAATACCACATCAATAATTCAATTATTTTTAACGATGAGAACTAAAATGAAATCAAAACGTAAAGTTAAATATGATTTTTAAAACAAAAAATAGGTGGGTGACCAAAATAGAACAAAAATAATAGTTGAATAGTAAGTATGTAGTTTACCATATTACTTTTAATCTTTAAATTTATATATTTTATTGATCTTATTTAATTCAAAAATAATTTAATAAAATTAATATTTAATATTTTAAACAATTATATCAATTTAATTTTTTATAATATTTTTAAATCAAACGGGTATAAATGTATTCAACTATAAAATAACAATAAATTACTATTAAATTGTTATTATATCATAAATAACAACAAATATTTTAGAAGAATAACAAAAATTAAAGTGATATTATTTTCTCAAATATAGAGTGTTAAATTTATTTAATTATTTAGATCATGATCAAATTAATAAATTATATAAATTTTAAGGATTAAAATTATTACTATTCCAAATCATGTTATTATTATATCTAATATTTAACCACCAATGATCTATTTATAATAATATTTTAATAAAATATCTTATTTATATATTTTTAAAAAATAAGAAATTTATTATCAAACATATAATTAAATAACCGAAGTGGATTTTATCTTAAATGCTCACAGAAGGTTTGGAAAATGCTTAAAAGTTAGATTACAAACGTTATTCATTCGGAATTTTAAAATATTGTGAGAAAGGTTAGTTTAATTCATAACTACAAGAAACTTGTCTATAAATTAAACGTAAACTACATAAATGGTCACCAAACTTTTAAGGAACTTACATTATGATCACCCAACTTTTAAAACTAGCAAACAATCACTGAACTTTTAGTTCGTTTTTAGTAAAGTCCGTGACGTTACTTCCTGTTAATTTTATCTAACGTGGCACATTACTGTTATTTTTTAGCTTAATAAAATAATCATTTAACCCATTTCATCTTGATAAAAAAATTCTTACCCAAAATTAACTAAAAACCCTACAAATCAAATTGAGACTAAGGGGTTGTTTGTTTACAGCCAAATGATTAAGCGCTGAATGATTCATTAGCCTGAATGATTCAAAGGCTCTGTATGAATTAGTTCTGAATGTGACATGTTGTTTGATAATGATTCTGAATCATTCAGAATGTACTTTAATGTTGAATCATTCAGCATTGTTTTGCTTAATCATTCAGCACAGTCTTCATTCAGAGGTGAGAAACAAACACGCTGAATGCTGAATGGTTCCATTCAATAGTAAACAAACAGCCCCTAAAACCCAAAATCAATTACAAAGAGTAATTCCATAATATGAAAAGTCCCTATTGAGACCCTATTGACACTAAGATGTCGCACCCATGCTACATAGTTTCGAACTTGGTACGACGATTCACCCTATATCTTTGGAGCTGCAAACCATGGTCTAGGTTACCTTCATTCAATAGCAGTTTAAGGAATCATTCATCGGGAAGTTAAGAGCACCAAAGAAGAAGAAGAAGAAACTCATGGGTTTAGATTATCTTCATTCAATAGAAGCTCAAGGATCATTCATCGGGATGTTAAGAGGACCAATGAAGAAGAATAATGTTTTATTAGACTGATAACGTAAGAGATTAAAACCGTTTTCTATATTTTTCTTTGCGATAATGTTATAAATTATATTGTTTTATTTGTATCTCAAATCTCGAAATAAGTTTAATGAGGGTGAAATAAAATTTTTCTCGAGACAAATTAGATTCAAATAAAGTATATGATATTTTAAGTGAGATCAAATGATAAAAAAATGGGACTCACTCATCCCTTGCCATCCCTAACCAAAAAAGATTAAGAGAAAAAAAAAAGCAACACATAAGATATGATAACAGAAAGCGCACGAGTTAAACAAAAATATGATAAAAAATTATATAACAAAATTAATAAACACAATTACAACATTAAAAATAATTGAAGCACCAGATATCCATATATGGATGATAAAACAAACGTAAAATAAGCTAACAGAAAACCCCCAATACAAGTAAAATAAAACTACAAAAAGTTGACTTGAATAATCATTAATCAGATGTATTCTTCTTTTAACCCACACCCTCTTTCTCAAAATTAGTTAAAAAAAATGCCACACATTTTAAGAACATTGCTCACGGGCGGAGCCCACCCTCGAATTGGCACATCTAAAAGCACCCTAAGGTTCGGCTGCTGCATATTGGCGATCAATTCAGTGCTGGTGCCGATGCCATCGCCAGACATGTGATGCTGCCTGCCGTGCTGTGGATCAGCAGGTTCTCTTGTGGCAATGTCACGTTCTGGCCAGAAAACATCAATGTTATTGTCGGTGCCACGATTGGGACTGAGTAACATGTGTCGAACCCGCCGAGCGATGTCAAGTTCGCGACTCTTACTCGTCCCCGGAACTCATCACGGATGGGTACATAGGCTTGTTGAACTAGCCGGGTGAAGACCGTACTTGAATTTAGTAGCAAAGTTGAAGGACATTTCAACAAGAAAAATACTACTTAATACAATTGTTTTTCATCTGACTAAATCGATTTATCTGATCTGATTTCAATCAAGTTATAGACTGAAGAAGTATTACCGGAATCAATGAGGCTCCGGTGGAGGGACTTTCAAGAGCATTTGGTGCGATATCAACAATCTTTTGCCAACCTTAATTGCAACCAAATTCACAAAATAAAGAGAGGGCCGCCTAGGGTTCTTCAGCAATGGGCCTCAATGACCCAGAAAAGTTAAGTGACCTAAAGCTAGGCAAGCAATATGAAAATGTTGATTGGTACAAATTTTGGGATTGAGAGAAGTGACAATGGGCCTCGGCGCAGGCCCAATAGGCCCTGCGGTGGCATCGAGTTGCCTGCTGTCTTTTGGAGGCAACCAAAAGTGTAGTTTGGGATTGAGTCAGTGGCTAAGGTTATGGTGCCCTGTGAAAGGTTTCCGGCTACGGTTGAACCACCGTAGGTCACGTTGGATGCGCACGCGCTTCCACCGCAGGTGGGGTTTGGTACCTAAAAAAAGTTATCACATGATTAAGTGTTGAAGTATCCAAAAACACTTGTGGTGTTTTCTTGTTTTGGCAAACCAACTTTCTAAACTTTATGATAAAATACAAACAGGTGTAGTGATAACAAATGTTACTAACTTTCTACTAGATAATCATTTAGTTATTTTAGTGGTTAAAAGAAGTGTTGTATCTCTAGAGGTTATGTGTTTGAGCAGTTGTGTTTACAGAGAATGTGGGCATTGTCAATGGTCAAGAAAGAATATAAACAAATAATAACTTGTAATTACCCTAGACTATTAAAAAAGTCATTTTGACTCTTATTCTTTCTTTGGAGCATTTTGATCCATAATGTTTTATTTTTTATCCCTTAATGGATGAAAATTGTTAGTCAACAAATAGTAAACACTAAAAATATGAGTGTTTTTGTCCTAAAACGAAATATTGAGATCTCAAATTCTCAAAAAATAATTGTTCAAGTGACTATTTAATCAAGTGTTAAAGACCTTCTTGACTTAAAATAAAACGTTAGGGTTAAAATGTTAAAAAAACTATTTCATAAAACGTTAAACAATGTTTTTAGCATTATTGAGCTTTACCTGCTTGCATTAAGCGGCTTGGCAGCCAAGGGTGTTGAAAGTGGTGGGTTTAGCATAGTCAAAAGCAATAGAGGAATTAGTGAAAGGCTATGGAAGGAAATCAACTTCCTCAAGATGTTCTTTGAAGATTGACCATCAAAAGGCCTTTGACACTCTTCACTGGGGCTTCATTTCATCAGTCCTAAACGCTATACAGCTACCAAAAACCTTCATTGACTGGATTGAAGCTTGTTTCTCAGATGCAAGATATTCCATATCCTTCAACGGAAGCCTGATTGGATACATCAAAGGTGAAAGAGGAATAAGGCAAGGTGACCTACTATCCCCTTTCTTATTCGTCCTCGCAATGAATGTGTTGTCTAAAATTCTTAATTTGGCTGTCGCGAGAGGTATGTTTGGCTACCACCCTAAATGTAAGAAGATAGGGCTCACTTACTTAATGTTTGCAGATGATATTCTAATCTTTTGCAAAGGAAATTTGGAATCAGTTGTTGGAATCACTACTGTTTTAACAAATTCTATGAAAAGTCTGGCCTAAAGCTTAATGCGGCCAAATGTGAATTCTACACTTCTGGTATATCTACTAATATCCTAGAGTCTATTAACAAAACTACGGGGTTCAAGCAAGGATGTCTGCCTGTGAGATACCTAGGAGTCCCTTTGGTCACTAGGAAACTCTCTGAAAAGGACTGTGTTGTTCTCATTAACAATATCAAATCCAGGCTTTACCACTGGTCAGGTAAACTCTTGTCTTATGCAGGAAGACTTGAGCTTATAAGAGCGGTCTTTTTCAGTGTTGCTAACTATTGGTGCATACAACTTTTTCTACCTCAATCTATTATTAAAAAGATTGAGCAACTCTGTTCTCGATTTTTCTAGAAAGGTTCAGACAAAGCGGCTACTGGAGCTAAAGTAAGCTGGGGAACGATATGTCAGTCGAAACCTGAAGGCGAGCTTGGTTTAAAGGACTTAAAAACGTGGAATATGGCGTGTATGATCCAACTAATTCGTAGTATCCTAGCAGGTGAAGGCTCATTATGGGTTGCTTGGCTAAATAACTATGTCCTTAACGATAAAGACTTCTGGCACATCGATAGTGGTACAAATACCAGATGGAGCTTCAGGAAATTACTCAAACTTAGGAGGGAAGCCAACGCTGTTTTCTCAACCGAGCAACATCAATTCGTGCAATTTGGGAAGAGATTAGGGTTAAGAGAGACAAAGTTCAGTGGCATAATCTGATATGATTTCCTCTCCACATTCCTAAACACAACATGATTGCTTGGATGGCTATCTTGGACAGACTTCCTACTAAAGTTAGACTTCAACATATGGGTATTGTTACTGATGGTTTATGTGTTTTATGTAATGAGTCCCAGGAAACAAGAGATCACATATCCATAGAATGCCCACTAGCAAGCTTTCTCTAGAAGGAAATCTTACTACTAACCGGCTTGCGGAGATCTTCATTGTCTTGGGATTAACTATTGTCCTGGGCATGTGACACTTGGACAGGTAACTCCCTCCTTATAAATATTTTGAAGCTTGCATGGACTGCACTTATTTATTCTCTTTGGGAAGAAAGAAACAAAAGGCTATTCCGAAGAAGCTCAAGAGCAGTTGATGAAATTCTTAAAGCTATTAAGGAGTTTGTTAGAATTCAACTAAGAGATAGGATAATCAATAGAATAGATAGAGTTAATATCTCTCTTTGTATTTAATGGGGGTATTGACAAACCTTATTACTATGTTGGTTGTTCATGCTTCACGTTGGTTGTTTTGATGAATGTACTGTAGCTGTTTTGATGTCTGTGTTGTAGCAGTTTACTGCTCCCATTTGGGTAATAATATTCTTTTATTTATCCAAAAAAAACAATAGAGGAGCAGCCAACGCAGGCAGCATCACTGCTAGTATCCATAGACATAAGCATGGTTTGAGGTGGGGTTCCAATATTGGCCCTCACAATGTATGTCAGACTCTGCACGATTTGCCTGCCAGAAGCTATCGCGCCACCGATATCTCACCCACGAGGCTCGACAAATACTGCACCCTAGCTTGGTCCTTGTGCTAGTGCTTGGAGCACATCCTCTTCCCACGAGAGTTGCTTCGAGGGCTTGAAGGGTGAGCATGGACTGTAAAGATGGAACACTTGGAGGTTCGAGCCATGGTCTTGGGTGCTATATTTGGGGTTCAGACCTTGGGCTAAGGATAAAAAAGGAAAAACACTAGAGGAACAAAATGGGGTTTCATTGTTTAGTAGGAATAATTTCCAAGTTTTGTTTTCTTTGATGGTTTAGGACTTAAGACAGTGCATGTATTATGCAAATATAACTGGGGAAGTGTAAACCCTTATATCCGGCCTGGACATTATGATCAAATCTAAGCGGTTACATATCGTATTCGTATTTTTTTTTCATATTTAAAACAATGCTAAAATCCATATAACAATAGAATATGAAATTAGCAATAAGAAAGATTCATACGATAAACATATATGTATACATTAAAACCATGTAAAATATATACAAAACAAAGTACTGATAATACATATATATCAGGACAGTAACAAAAACAAGTTTCACCAAAGTATAACAAAAAGACATAGAAATCAGATTATCTACTTTTTCACAGCAGATGATCATTGTTTGAAGAACCACTATGTGTTAACATTTGTAGGACCCTCAGGAAATTGTTCGACGTCGATGCAGCGGATTACATGCTTTCGCTATTTGGGAGTGACGCCCTTCGGGAACTTTCGTCCCCGGAAAAAAGCGGAAGCTTTTTTTACTTGACCAGTGATGACAAATACATGATTAAGACAATGAAGAAGGCTGAAGCAAAAGTGTCGAATGTTTTCTTTATCGAAACCAACTCGGAAACCTGCAATTTCTAAATAATCATGGCATTTTGGACACTGTTGCATTTGCAGGTCCTTGTAAGAATGCTTCCAGCCTATTATAAGCATGTTCAGTCCTATAAGGACACTCTAGTTACTAAATTATTTGGTCTTCATTGCGTGAAATTAACTGGGGAAGTACAGAGAAAGGTAATGCCAATATCACACGGTTTCAACTTCAAACACACCTTCGAAGTCATCTGAAAACGATCTCATACTTTCTTCAATTGTGATCTTGATGAGTCAGGTTCGATTCGTTATAATCGGAAACCTGTTTTGCTCCGAGTACGCCATTCATAGGCGCTTTGACTTGAAAGGTTCTTTCCAAGGTCGTAAAACTGCTTAACCCGAATCTGAAATATATCCGACCACCACCCTCAAGGACCTCGATCTCAATTAAATATTCCAACTACAGAAACTGTGGTTCCAAGAGTTCTGCAGGTGATTCTCTTGTCTAAATACCTCTTAATTTTGAAGGTTCATGTTGTCTGATTCTTTTTCGACACCTTTCGTGCAGGCAACTCGACCGAGATTGTGACTTTCTTGAACGTGAAATAATCATGGACTATAGTTTACTGGTCGGATTGCACTTTAGTGAAGTTCCCACACCTTGTACTTCTGGAGTTCCCACACCTACTGGTTATTTCTAGTCATCTATGGAAATTAATGTTTGCATGAACTTGAAATCAATGAATGCTTAATAGATTAACAATTGTTTCGGACTTAACTTGCAGGAAATGAAAATTGCGAAAATGGAGAAGCTACTCAGATATCCCTAGCTAGCAATGATCAGCTTGTTATCAACAACACGGTAAAATCGATTGCCATTGCCATGAGAATATATAGATCTAACACATTGCATGGCATCTATATGAAGTGATACATATTAGTTGTGCTTATGAGCTTTCGATACGAAAAGTGCAGGCAGTCTTCTGATAGATTAGGTATAAAGATAGCAGCTCGAGCCGAGAAAACGGAGTATCAACTGGTTGGAGAACCAACTGGTGTGACATATGATGTCATTCTCTTCTTTGGTATAATAGACATTCTACAAGACTATGATATTAGCGAGAAGCTTGAGCATGCATATAAATCAATGCAATACGATCCGACCTCGATCTCCGCCGTTGAACCAAAGCTATATTCAAAACGTTTCTGGGATTTCATTTTCGAAGTTTGTGTACAGGACACTTGAAAATGTCATGATCTTTACAAGATTTTCAACTCAGAACCAGTGTACATTTACGTGAATTCGTTCATATTCCAGAGTTGTGATCGGTTAAAAGAAAAAAAATTCGGCTTCTTAGACATGGCCATGGAGGATCAATCACGACAGCGCTGGACACGCCCTTGTAATCAAGGATTAGGTTAACATTGTAAACATAGTTATTAAGGTTGTTTCATCTTGAAATGATGGTGAAAACATACATGGGAATGAAACATACAATATCTGAATCAACCTTCCAATGCCTTAAGACCCCTTACACTAGCATTACTTTCGGACCAACTCTTCAAAATAGAGCAAAATATACTTCCAAAACTATGCTCCGTATAAATTGACAACTGAAATCGTTCTACTAAGACTCGTTATCGAGGTCGTAAAGCAACTGACCTGGATTCAGAACAGCAAAAGCAAATTTGCAGTGCTTATGACTGATCAAAATTATGCTGAAGAAGTACCACTGTCCATTGCAAGGTCCGTCGTGCGGCAGCATCTAACAAGTCCGGAGATTAAATCTCAATATATGTAACCTTCCTCATAAAGATAAAAGAAAGCATGAACTCTGCGAATGGTATATAATAAATGTGCATTCAACCAAACTTGGCTTGGTTGAATCTTGTTCATCACCTGGCATATACATAAAGAAAAACTTGTGATGATAAAGAGGATTATCTGCAAATGATAGATCTGCAACTGCAATTGTTTGTTAAAAAATATAAAGGTTGTACAATCTTTTTTGAGGGAATCACAACCATAAAACGGATGAAGTTTGGTGCATCGGTCGTATCCGGAAGTGTTTGTGATGACAAATATCAGTAAAATGATGAACACAACAATGTTATCCTACTGTGGAAATGTATCAAACACTACAGTGGATATAGATCTTAGGCTTAGCAAATGCAATCTTTTGCTTCTTTACCAAAGATGGATAGTGACAATAGAACAACCACGGCTCAATTATGATGCTTCTCACTGACACCGACGCCGTCTTTGCTTTCGAAGAAAGGCATAAGCAATTGGGGATATAAACTGTATGATCCTATGACTTAAGGGGAATGAACTATGAAGTAGCCTTCACACAATCAATTGTTAGGCCTATTTAGCTAAAGAAACATCATTAATTACATGTTGAACGCTAAAGATTGTACCTTAAACCGACCGTCGGTCACTGGACGCCGCAAAGGTGTTTGGTGGATCAACAATTGGTGAAGAAGAATCCCTCTCCTTCTCCCTTCCGTTGCTGCTGCTTTCGAAAACGACATTCGAAATACAGGGAAACGCATTTTTCACATCGACTCCATGATCATATAGGAACCCCTTGAACACATGGCCGCTTATATTCACAGTAGCTTGGTAAGCAACCTCCGCCTCACCGTCGCTAATGGCCGTCACCTGAATACACCTGAACACTGCCGGCGCTCGAACTTGACCCGGTAACGATTCTTTAAATCTTGAATCTAAAGATCCGGTTTTAAATTAACATTAGAGAAGAATTTATATAGAGGATAAAGTTGTTTACGGTAAAACAACAAATTTTTGTGCATTATATTTCATCCAATTGTTTTGGATGATTATAAGGTAATATACATTGTAGATGCATCTACTCAAATCTGATTGTTCTATTTTTTTTAAACCAAATCTCAGCTTGTTTAATTCTTGATTGAATGGAAAGATTATGGAACAAAGAAGAACATATGAGAGAAAACAAACCCTGAGAAGTGGCAGCTTCAAAATTCAAAGACTTGGAAGCAGCATTTGAAGTGAAGTTCAAAACCCTTTGCCTTTTACCACCGCAAGAGGAGGATCCCGAAGACCCACCGCCGTCCTCCTCCCCAACCAGCACCACCTTCCTGTCTTTTTTCCGAGCAGCAGGCACCCACGTGCTCTTCACGTGAGTCGCGCAATCGTAGCCTCTACTCTTGCAACAAGTCCTACACCTGCTGTATCGACACTCCTTCTTCGCCCTATTCCCACAGTCTCTACACACCTTAAAACAACCACTGCCGCCGCCACCGTCTTCTTCTTCATCGTCTTCTTCAACACTAGTCAAGACTCCATCTTTCATTTGGAAAACCGGTAGCGATTCCTGGGTTGTCGTGCTCCTCTTTGCAGTCCAGATATTTGTGTCAGTCAAGTTGTAGTACTGGTAAAAGGCTTGTGGTGGTGGCGGCGGCGGCGGCGGCGGCGATGACGGCTGTTGTTGTTGTGGTTGGTGGCTCTCCTGTGACGTTGGTGGTGGTTGTGGAGCTACAAGGAAGATGTTATGGAGGCCTAACATGCTGGTGGGGTGGTGGCGGTGATGATTATGATCATGGGACGGTAGTGGCGGCGGCCATGTTTTGGTGGTGGTGTAGGTGGTTGGGGTGGCCACAATTGGAATGGTTTTGAGTGAAAATGTGATAAAGATTCTGCTAGTTAAAGAAAGGGTGAAAACCGAAAGATAATAATGAATGAATCAACGAGAAAGAAGAATTTGTTTGATATGTGAAAAGCTGAAGCTAATCTATTTGACAGTGGATGAAGAAATAGTTACATCTTTCATCTTTGAGCCTGAGCGAAACACAACCTTTTACTACTAATATAATCAATCTGACAACTGCAGACCGATCTTGCCTTTGTTACATTTTATGTTAACATTTCAATATTTTGATTTTGGAAACTATACTCCCAAAGTTTATTTTTATAGGTGATATTTTAGTTTTATTGATTAGATTTTTTAATCATTTAAACTATATCAATTAAATCGTTAATTGATGAAAGAATTGACACAACAGTAAATGATTTTTTTTAGATAACTTGTGCATATTACTCGAAGAAAACAAAAAATCTGTTACAAATATAAAGCCTTATCAATGGTTCTATTTGTAAACTTGATTTCCAATATATATCGAAAAGCCTTTAAATTGTCTACCATTATTCTCTTATCAATTACAATAAATCAAAACATTCCTAGAGATTTTAAGGATAAAAGAGAGATAAAATTTACGCTTGAGATATAATGTCGTCCATTCCAGCTCAATGCCCTACTAGGGAGAATGCACATTGTTAACACAATCTCCGAACTATATATGACATTCGAAAAAAGGTTATTCCTGATTTTCAACTCTCCGTAGAAAACAAATCATCTCCATTTGCAGGAGTCTACCCTGATCCCTAATATATGTTGCGGAAGACGGCTATCGGATAGAGCAAAATCGCAACTGATAATTTGAGAAAATAAAAATGAAGATAAAAAGAGACACAAATTTACGTGGAAAACCCCTAAATAAAATAGGGTAAAAACCACGGGCAATGGTAGAAGAATTTCACTATGAGAAAATAGGAATTACAACTTCTCTCATCTACCAAGGAGAAAACAATGATAATTCTCTCTTGATAAAAAAGAGAAAACAACTCTCAAGAAACTCTCTAAATTCTCTCTAGTATTGGAAGAAAGCTAGAATGCTTTGGGATGGTTTTGAAGCTAAATGGGTTAGGTTATTTATAGTTGAAGCTTAAGGACTAATCTTGTAAATTCCCTAAAAGTTTAGTGACTAAAGTTTGTAATTTGCCCATTTAGTTTTCAACCATTGTTGCACCTAATTTTGACATTTTATATTTGGTGCCTATCATTATTGAAGATTTCATTTTTTTCAACCTTGTAAATGCACTTTGGGTGCATGCTTTCAACAATCTCCCACTTGAAGATTTGATTAGAACAATCATATCTTCACACCATTGTTTCTACATTGTACCATCATGTTGCTTACGTCTCTGACAGTCCACAAGAGGATCGACACCAGGTAAATTTATCAGCATTGATTGCCTTCGTCATGAAATTTGCTATGTTGTCTTTGGTATGGATCTTCTGCATATCCACCGTCCCTTCTTCCACCTTTTCACGAATGAAATGGTATTGGACTCGTATGTACTTTGTTCTTGAATGAAATGCTGGATTCCTTGCTAGATGCAAGGCGCTTTGACTGTCACAAAACATAGAGACATACTCTTGATTGTGCCCAAGCTCCTCCAATAGCATCTTCAACCAAATTGCTTCTTTACTGGCCTGTGTAGCTGCTACATATTCTGCTTCTGTTGTGGATGTAGCCACAATTGACTGCAATTTTGAAACCCAGCTTACAGCTCCACCAGCAATTTTGAACACATATCCTGTAGTAGATTTGCTTTCATCCAAATCCTCTGCATAGTCAGAATCGACATACCCATTGATAAGTAAGTTTGATCCTCCGTAACATAATGCAACATTTGAGGTCACTTTGATGTATCTTAGGATCCTCTTCAATGTATTCCAATCCATGTTTCAATCTTGCTTGCATTATTATCCAACAATCCATAGGATAATAAATTTTTCTTCAGGCCTTTCACGTTCCGCACATCTCGAACAACTTTAATTGTTCCATCATACATCTTCAATTTGATGGTTCCCACGCCAATGATCTCTAAGGCATGATCATTGCAACTATACACAGATCCTCCTGAGACAAGTTCATAATGATGGAACCATTCTATTCTTGAGGTCATGTGATATGTTGCTCTCGAATCAATGAGCCATATGTCTGCATATCTCTTTTTACCTTCCACGGTGGTTGACGCTTCACAACATAGAGCATCTCCATCATCTGAAGTGTTTGCAGTATTGCCTTGTGGATTGGAGTTTTTATTTAGACTCCAACAATCTTTCTTCAAGTGACCCTTCTTTCCACAATTGTAGCACTTTAAATTCTTCTTGCTTATTGACTTCGGTCTACCATGTTTGTGACTGCTGCTTTGGCCATGTTTTGTTGATCTCCCTTTATCTTTGTCAACGCTTCTGCTTGTTGTATATTTACTTGTCTGTCTTCCTTATTCTTGCGCCGATTTTCTTCTTGTAGAACAACAGCTGCAACGTCATCGAAGACTAGACTGGTGACATTACTGTTTGTCAAGTTGATGATGAGTTGATCATACGAATCCGGTAGACTTTGAAGTAGAAGTTCAGCACGTTCTTGTTCTCCTATTTTACAGCTTAAGGATGTAAGCTGAGAAAATAAAGTCTTCAGTGTATTTAAGTGCTCCGTCACTGAAGTAGATTCTGACATATAGAGAGTGTATAATTTTCTCTTAAGGAAAATTTTATTGTGTAGCGATGTGGCCTCGTATAATTTGGTGAGATGATCCCATATCTCCTTAGCTGTATTCTTCTCCTCGATGCTTGCCAATACTTCATATGCTAATGCTAGATGAAAGTTTGCCATAGCATTCCCGTCCATTTCGATCCATTTGTTGTCATCTGTGAAATCCACCTGCATTTCACTGATAGCTGCTAGACAACCGTTTATCCTTAGGATGGCCTTCATCTTTAATTTCCACAATGAGAAATTTCTCCCATTGAATTTTTCAATATCAAATTTCGTTGCCATAACTTCTTTTACAGATAGCTCCCAGTATTTCACTATCGTGAATAGTTCTCTAGAACCTTCAAAAAATGAGTAATAACTTTTTATTTTCTTATGTTGGAGGATCCACCTTTTGGTGGCAACCACAAAGACAATAAGCATATATTACACACTCAAATCTGGCTCGGATACCAATTGTTGCGGAAGACGGCTATCAGATAGAGCAAAATCGCAACTGATAATTTGAGAAAATAAAAATGAAGATAAAAAGAGATACAAAATTTACGTGGAAAACCCCTAAATAAAATAGGGTAAAAACCACGGGCAATGGTAGAAGAATTTCACTATGAGAAAATAGGAATTACAACTTCTCTCATCTACCAAGGAGAAAACAATGATAATTCTCTCTTGATAAAAAGGAGAAAACAACTCTCAAGAAACTCTCTAAATTCTCTCTAGTATTGAAGAAAGCTAGAATGCTTTGGGATGGTTTTGAAGCTAAATGGGTTAGGGTATTTATAGTTGAAGCTTAAGGACTAATCTCGTAAATACCCTAAAAGTTTAGTGACTAAAGTTTGTAATTTGCCCATTTAGTTTTCAACCATTGTTGTACCTAATTTTGACATTTTATATTTGGTGCCTATCATTGTTGAAAATTTCATTTTTTTTCAACCTTGCTAAATGCACTTTCGGTGCATGCTTTCAACAGTATAGCCATCCAACAAATGATGGTGCATGCGTTTAGGCACATAAAGAGAGAACCACCACGAGACCTTGGCTTTTTCAGGCCGAAATAGAGGATCAAATCCACCTAATTTTCAAACTCCAGAGTCAATGCAAAAACGGATCTATCTTAAATCCAACAACTTCCTCATGCTTCAGTTAATATCAGTCTTGACGTCAACTTGTCAAAAATCTACACCTTTAAAAATATTCTTAAAATCAAGACTTCCTTCAAACTTCGAAGAGCAATTCTGCCTCCATCTCACTCTAACCCCAAATGCAGTCAAATCCCTCCCTTTCACAAGTATTTAGCATAACGTTGGTCAATTCTCCAAATAATTGAAAAAATTACCTACACCAACAATTTGTTATACTGAACATGCTTACTCGAATAAGTTGAAGCCTGTCAAAGTAACTGAGATGCTTATTACCCCCAATGCCCCAGCTTGTCCTTAATCTCGTCAATGAGAGAATCTCATTGGTCATCCTTCTAAAGCTAACTCACCCAACTTTCCGTTTATAAAAAAGAATCTCAGTTTTCTTTAATTCGATCAACTCAAACTACAAGGAATGTTCCAACGGAATCTACCCTTACCAAACTAGAAGAAAGGTTCTAATTGACAAAATTGAAAGATAAATAGACAAATTAAAATCTATCAATAGTTAATTGGTCACTTATGTGGTTTAAAAAATTATATTAATCAATATAGTTTTAAGACAATACAAGTAATTTATAATATTTTATTATATGTGATACAATAATATGTAGTTTACCCTCATATTTAAATTGATATTATTTTTTTAAACAATTTCTTCCTAAAGGAAGGAGAAGAAAATTTACTAATAATAAATATTAAAGCTACAATCTAAAAGAAATAGAACGTGTCGACTTAATTTTTTTAACTAAATATTGTAGAGATCGTTAACCATTGATCTTAATTAATATTTATATCAAATTATTCATATGAAAAATATAAAAAAAAACATGAAATAATGATGACTAAAGGTCCATCACAAATAATTTCTTTGAGTGGAAATATTTATATAATCAAATGTCATTAATCTCATCATCATTATATAAGTAATGCCTTCCATTATATCAAATGGTAGATATCTTTTGGTATTATTTTAAGGTAAAAAGTTGGAAGTCACTAAGTAAAGTAATTTACAAATTTGGTGAAGAAATGGACATAACGAGGGAGGCTGCATTTTTAATGGGGTCTGTGGGCCAATCTAAATCATAGATAGGGTCAAGATTTAGCTTAAAATTCTACATGGCTATGTTCCTATAGAGGGTAGGGGTAGGCATA